GTGAAATGCCAGGCTGAATAAATCACAAGCTGGAGTCAAGATTGCCGGCAGAATTAACAACCTCAGATACACCGATGATATCACCCTAATGGCAGAAAGCAAAGAGGAACTAAACAGCCTCTTAATGCAGGTGAAAGAGGAGAGTGAAAAAGCTGGCTTAAAACTCAACAGTCAAAAAACTAAGATCATGGGGTCTGATCCCATTACTTCATGACAAATAGATAGAGGAAAAATTGAAATAGGGACAGACTTCTTTTTCTTGGGGCTCCAAAATCACTGTGGATGGTGACTGCAGGCATGAAATTAAAAGACACTTGTTCCTAGGAAGAAAAGCTATGATAAACCTAGAGAGCATATTAAAAAGCAGAGACATTACTTTGCCAACAAAGGTCTATAGAGTTGAAGCTATGGTTTTTCTAGTAGTCATATATGGATGCGAGAGCTGTACCATAAAGAAGACTGAGGACTGAAGAATTGACGCTTTTGAACTGTGGTGTTGGAAAAGACTCTTGAGAGTGCCTTGGACTGCAAGGAGATCAAACCAGTCAATCCAGGAGGAAATCAACCCTGAATATTCATTGGAAGGGCTGATGCTGAAACTGAAGCTCTAGTACTTTGGCCACCTGATGAGAAGAGCCAACTCATTGGAAAGGACTCTGATGCTGGGAAAGATTGAGGGAAGGAGGAGAAAGGGGTGACAGAGAATGAGATGGCTGGATGTTATCACCCATCAGTGGACATGTGTTTGAGCAAACTCCAGGAGACAGTGAAGGACAGGGAAGTCTGGCATATGCAGTCCAGGGGGTTGCAGTGAGCTGGACACAACTTAGGGACTGAACAACAAACTGCACAGCTCCGTGGCACTGAGTTCATTCACATTATCGTACAACTTTCATCCTCATCCGTCTCCAAATGCTTTACCTTCCTAGACTGAAACTCTGAATTTCCCTGCCTGCCCCTGCATCTACCGAAGTACTTTCTGACTCTCTGAATTTGACAATTCTCGGTACTTTGTATAAGTGGAACCAAACAGTATTTCTATCTAATGTATACTGGAATGCATTTTTAAGGTTAACTTAATATATGTCCTACAAATAGATTGTACCTTCTTTTTTTGCCCTGTGCTATATAGTATGTTCTTATTAGTTATCCACTTCATACCTAACAGTATATATATATATATATATATATATATATATATATATATATATATATATACACACACACACACACACACACACACACACACACATATATATGTCAATCCCAATTTCCCAATTCAATAGTTAGGACATGGAAGCAATTTGCTGACTTTTATCATTAATTTATCTAACAAATATTTATTAACTTCCTACTAGCATAAAAAAAAAGCACTAAAAGCTCTGTGATAGGATACTGGGAGTTGGTAAAAGAGCAATGAATAAAACACACTTCCCACCCACAAAGAATATCACAGGCAAGCGAGGCAGACAGAACCAACACATATACCCAAAGAAGCAAGTTAAAACAGGGCAGATAGCAAATAATACTAGAAAATAATTACTAATCTTCTTTGGCATGGTATCGTAGCTATCAAGGAGAATGTTCTTATTCTCAGAAAACACAAACTCATTTATTTGGGGATAAAGTGTGATGATGCCTATAATTTACTTTCAAATTACTTTGCAAAAACAACAAACTAGATACATAAATGCATATATACAATGCTAACATGCCAAAATGTTAATCACTGGGGAGAAAAAAAGCTGGCAGTCAAGGATCAAGTGCTGGCTCCAAACTTCAGAACATTGTGTGGACTTGAAACTCTTTTAAACTTGCTCTCACAGCGTGACTGATAGGAGAAAACTCTTGCAGACAGGCTGTTTTTTAAGCGCAAAGTGCTCTATAAATAATTCCTACAACAACCACCATGGAACAGGTCCGTGGGAGGGGCTGCTTTTAAAGTGCCAGCTGCTGAGAGGCTTCAAAACATGGCAATGAATCCTTCTGATTTATAACTGATGCCCCTTTCCCTGGTCAGTCTTTAGTGAAGGTAAACCTGTGGATGAAAGTCTTCATACAAAACCCTGCTGGGAAATTCATCTGAATCATTTCAATTCACTTCTTCTCTAGACTTTATCAAGATAGAGTGAAGGAATTGATGGGCTAATGGATAAAGGAGAAGGTCCCCAGACAAGCCTATCAACACCCAGGTTGAAATTACAGTCTATAGACCAAGGTCTCTGAGTAGAGACGTGGTCAGATGGCCCCGCTCACTCCCAGACTCACAGCACGTGCCCAGCTGTCATCTCTCTCTCAACACGTCTAAAATAGAACACTTCCCTCCCATGATTTTTTTTTTCTCCATGAATGGCATGACCAACAGTAAAGTAACAGAAGCCACAAACTTCCCCATCACTCCTCCTCCACTTTCATACCCATCCATCCCCAGACCCTTCTGTTTTCCCTCAAAAGTTCTCCCAAATCATCAGCATCTCTCCTTTTCAGACTCCACCTTCCCTTCTTAACAGGCAACATGGATTTCCCAAACTTCCACAAGTCTTTTATTTCCACACTTGTCTCTTTCCAACCCACACTCCATACTGGTATAAAAGGAAAGTTACAAATTCCTGTTTACATTTTTCAATGGTTTAATAGTAATCATTATTAGGAAAACAGTCATGATACAGTGCCTAATACTTACTGAGCACTTAGCCAGGCACTGTGTGCTAATAAGCACCTTATCTAAGCATCTTCTCATTTCATCCTCATGGATCCTAAGAAGTGAGGGTTACCACTGTGTCAATTTTACAGTTTTCTCTGAGACACAGAGAAGTATGAACTCTTACTTGCCCAGGGATAGAACTGGTTAGCAACAGGCAGACAGGCTTCAGACCTAAGGCTCTGCTCTCTCCCCTCTGGGTTGAACATGACATGCCCCACTCATGCCCACAAAGTCCTAAAGCCCTGAGGACTCAGCCCTTGTCACCCACTTTCTTCCCTTTTCCTTTTGCTCCTTGGGGATGCCCTCAACTTTGCCCTCCTCCTCCTCACTCACTCTCCACACATGGGCATCTCTCCTGGGTCCCCAAGGCTAAGCAGGTCCTCCTCGTGCGTCCTAAAGGCACACATTCTGGCTTGTAATTAGGGACTTATTTGTGCCCACATCGCGGGAGGGGCCATCTCAGCTTTGCTGACCCTACAGCCTGGCGCCCACTCCAGTGCCTGGTATTAGGACTTGCTCAACAAACCTTTATCAACTAGAGAAACGGCGCAAAAGTGAACACAGAATTCCTGGGCTGCGGCTTGAGGGTCTGGCTTTACTATCAGTGTGAAGTGAAGTGAAGTCGCTCAGTCGTGTCTGACTCTTTGTGACCCCATGAACTGTAGCCTACCAGGCTCCTCCATGGGATTTTCCAGGCAAGAGTACTGGGGTGGGTTGCCATTTCCTTCTCCATACTCTCAGTGTGACCTTGTGCAAATCACCACCTCTCAGAGCCTCTGGGGTCCAATCTGAACCTTCTGGCGGCAAAACTATGATAATAAAGCACTGTGGAGTTTTCAAATATCTTTCCCCAAAATCCCATTTGATTCCAAGATGGCCCTATGAGGGAAGCAGGGTTCTTGTGGCCCACAGTCACTTAAGAAAGAAAAAGGAGGATCGATCTGGTGGGGGAGGAAAACTAGTGACTGGCCAGCAGTCAATCAGCCTTTGACGCTGAAACCTTCCCTTGACTCTAAGCCCAGCCTACAACCAGGGTTAGGTGGCAGCCCAGCCTACAACCAGGGTTAGGTGGCAACGCTTTGAGAAACTGCCCAGCGCTCTGTACATGAGTGACCACTGATGCTGACTCAGTCATCCTCCTCTCCAGTTTTCCCACTTGCTTAAGGCACTCAAGTGAAGAGTGGAGACCATCCAGCACATGTAACTAAGTCCATTGACATGGTAACCATGTCTATCATAAGCACGCACAGCTGGGGGATAACCAGGAGGACCACAGCCACCCACTCCTGTCCCTGCCCAGGGGAGCAGAAGCAAGGACAAAGAATCCACTTCCTGAGTCACTGTTTGGGCTTCAGAATATGAAAGAGTAACATGTACAAGGCAGCACCGATCATGGGCGCAGCTCCTGGCCACCCCGAGCCCTGGGGTCACCTGGGAGTTAGTGGTCTTTTATCAACATCCATCCATACCACTGTCCCAGTCCAGCATCTAAGCCAGGAGGTGATTCAGGTTAATGAGTACAAAGATGTTTCCTTATTCACGAGGATTCAACATGTAATCTCTGCAAAGGATGTCAGCTGACTCTATGTAATTGTCATTGGCCCTTCTGTGCATAAGGAGTTTACATGCTGGTTTTAGGGGGGAAAACATCTTTAATATCATGTTTATTCTTATCATATTAAAGGTTTAAAGTAATTCCTTCCATAACACCTCTCCAAGCAGAAATGAAAACAAAACTTCCTCCATGTGCAAAATTGTTCCCTAATAGTAGCTCCATAACTAGGACTATCTGTCTGCTTCTTCAGGTGAAACTGAAAGAGTATGACTGTTTATTTTTTAATAAAAATTGCCTTAAATATGTGACTTTCCAGGAGACTATACGTGTCCAAGAAGTCATAAAGTGGATTTAAAGACAAAAACAGGTGAAGAGGTGGAAATTTTTAATGTAAATTAGTATCAAAAACCTAATGCATAATTTAAAAAATATAAATCTTATCAAGTGAAATTTGTCATTATACAGAAATTCCATTTTATTACAAGTTGTTCATTTTCAATGTGTAAATGAAAACTGCAGAAATTTTGAGATTATGTCTAATATTCAGACATAATTTCCAAGCTATTTTAGCACAGAGCTTTAAAAAAGGGGGCCATCTTATATCTTGTTTTATAAATGGGACAAAGTAGGAAGTTCTCTTGAGTAGAGTTTTTCAGAAAATTGAAGTACAAAGGTCATAAAATTAATCTAGGATTTAAAACGGAAAACAAAAGTTATTCCTGTAATGATACTGATACTCACCTTCCAGACACTGGCAGGTGAATCCACTGAGATTAGAAATGCATGTTGCTCCATTTCTACATGGATCTAGCATACAGTAGTCAATCTTGGATTGGCAGAGCTCTCCAGTATAACCTGAAGAAAACAAGATAGACATGTATAAAATACTTTATCCCCAAAACCAGGACGCACCATCCCACAAGTTGATGGAGTTAACTGGTACCTATCCAACCAAGGCAGCAACCTCACACTAGTCTCCCAGGCACTTCTCGGTCTAAACTGGATTTTGCAACAAGAAACACAGTGGTTTATTTTTTATTTAAGAATAATTGCTTTCCATTGTTGTTGTATTAGTTTCTGCTGTAAGACAATGGGAATCAGCTACATATATATATCCCTCCCTCTTGGATCTCCCTCCCACCTCTCCCATCCCACCCATCTAGGCCATCACTGAGCTGACATTTCCTCTATCTCACTATTTCACACCTGCTGGTGTATATATGTCAATCCTAATCTCCCAGTTCATCCCACCCTTCCCATCCCCTCATGTCCAAATGTCCATTCTCTATGCCTCCATCTCTCAGAAACATAGTTCAAAAGTTATTTGCTTTGCAAAACTCTTTATTGCAAAGACTTTTTTTCACCATTAGTTCTGCATTTTATTTTGAAATATTAGAATCTTCAGAAGCTGAGACTGAACACCCCTGTCCCTTTCTCCTGACCTAAGGAAAAACAGGCTCTTTTTTTATGACTTTTAAAACTTTATTTAAAATTTTTAATTGGAGAATAATAGCTTTACAATGTTGTGTTGGTTTCTGCCATACATCAACATGAATCAGCCATAGGTATACGTATGTCCCCTCCCTCTTGAACTTACCTCCCACCTCTCTCCCCATCCCACCCCTCTAGGTCGTTACCAAGCCCTGGTGTAAGTTCCCGGAGTCACACCGCAAATTCCCATTGGCTGTCTATTTCATATATGGTAGTGCATATGTTTCCATGCTACTTTCTTCATACATCCCACCCTCTCCTTCCCACCCCCTCTTGCTTGACCACTAAGATGACAGCCACTTTCCCATGGTCATCTCACTACCTATTTTTAAAAGCACCATTAGGAAAATTGCTAGGTAGGTATTAAATTTTTTTAATTTGTAATATTTTACTGCTAGAAGACCCTCAGTGTCCAATTCAACCCCTAGCCCTTCATTTTAAAGCTAAGGAGGTTGAGACACATAATTTTAATCACATTTCTATATTCATCTTAATTCTAATTTGAAGCACAAACCCAACTCAGTAAATTTTTTCTGTAAAGCAATGATGATTTTGTCAGATAATAACATAACCACATATGTGATGAGAAAATAAGGACCTGAATCTACTCGAATACCCATGCAGCCAAGAAGCCTTAAATAAATTCTAAATATTTTGTTGACTTTGAAAACAAAGCCTTCCTGAAAGGCAAGGTTAAGAAATAACATGCAATTATGTTTTTTAGCTTAAAGTAGAAAATGATTATGAAAGAAAATTTGGAAAATGCAAAATTTAAAATAGAAAAAGAAAAAAGTTACCCTCAGTCATGTTATTTGAGTGACATAATTATTACTACTTTGGAGAGATTCCTATCAGAACTATTTATGCACAGATATTTCCTACTAAATTATAATCATACTGTAACATTTTGATCTTTCCAGGATGTACATAAAGTATATAAAAACTTGTCTTTCTGAAGTATTAGTTTTGAAGGAGTGTCAGTAGCACCATATTTGACATTTGCAAAAATAAATCACTGAGGTTAGGAGAGAGATGATTTGCCTGAGCTTCAGTGACCTGCCAAACCAGTCTAAATTACAGACTATGAACGTGGAGGCCTTGCTTGCAATTCTACTCTTCTTTATGTGTTTTAAAACAGTCTAGGGAGGACTTTCTTGGTGGTCCAGCAGTTAAGACTTCGCCTTCTAATGCAGGAGTTTCTGGTTTGATCCCTGGTTGGGAAGCTAAGATTTCACATGCCTCTTGGCCAAAAAAAAAGAAACAGAAAAACAGGAGCAACGTTGTAACAAGTTCAATAAAGACTTTAAAAGTGGTCCACATTGATAACTGAATAGTCTAGGGGACTCCAGTTAATTCATGGGTATGGGAAAAATAAGATAACTATGTAAACTAAAAATCTAAACACCAGGACAAAAAGCCATTCCAGAATTCAGAAGAGAATATCTTACTCTAACAAATTTATGTTAATACATTTTCAAATAATAGGTCTAAATTCAGATTAACATTCTGTCTATTTAACTTCATCTAGTCTCCTCATATTTCCATATCATCCCTATGGGTATCTTAAAGAAAATTTTATTTCACCTATAAAGACTTCATTATACATCCCTAACTAAAAGTGATTTTCGCAAAGATCACTTTTAACGCCTTCCTTAATGAATATCTGGCCCCACTTAAAAATTTAATTAAATACTCTAAACTATATTAATAGCAACAATTTCTTTTTAAGAACCACACTGTCTGATAACACACACACATCTTCCCATACTTTTAATTTGTTCCTATCTAACTGATCTAATATTAAACCTATAAGCAAAGTGAATCTTCAGTACTATTAACTGCTCCAATATTGCAAGCAAGTTTAGTAAGATTTCAGCCTAAGAGAATAAACCACATTTGTGATGTGTTCAGGGATTGTCTGTAATGATCTGGGGGTCACACTGGCATTCTGTGATAGAGATGCTGAAGCTCTGCACTGCCTGAGATGGATCCAGAATAAGTTTTATCACTCAAATGCCAATTGTCCCCGCCAATGAGGAACACTGGTCAAGGATCAGTCACTGTATCATTGCTTTCTGTTCCAGAGCTTTAAAATGATTATATTAAAGATATTTAAAATAAGGGAAACATGGAACTATAAAGAAAAAGACCCTGTGTAACTAGCTAGACTACAGAGCATATACATATTGGCATGTCTGAGTTCAGTATAATTGGAGATGAGAAACAACAGTGGAGGACTGTGTGGCTGGGGATGACAGAGGCAGAGAGGTAGGGCTGGGGTCAGGGGATTATGGGATTATCAGCATCCTTAGCTGCAGGCGGCCAGTTGGTCAGCTCATGCTTGCCTACACTGGCCTCAAGCCAGTGGCGAGTTCAAAGTACCAAGAGCACCACCCTTGACTGCACTGCTTTCACTGACTAACTGCAGTCAGCTCTGGGAGAGAAGAGGTAGAGGGCAAGGAACCATGAAGACCCTGAAGCTGACTCAAGGAGCTCTTTAAAAAAAAGCAAGTTGTTTCTTAGATCCTCAGAGAGCAGAGAGTGACATCTGGTCCCATCACCTCATGGCAAATAGATGGGGAAAAATGGAAATGGTGACAGACTTTATTTTCCTGGGCTCCAAAACCACTGCAGATAGTGACTGTAGCCATAAAATTAAAAGACACTTGCTCCTTGGAAGGAGAGCTATGACAAACCTAGACAGCATAGTAAAAAGCAGAGATATCACTTTGCTGACAAAGGTCTGAATAGTCAAGGCTATGGTTTTTCCAGTAGTCAGGTATGGATGTGAGAGTTGGACCATAAAGAAGGTCGAGAGCTGAAGAATTGATGCTCTAGAATTTTGGTGCTGGAGAAGACTCTTGAGAGTCTCTTGGACAGCAAGGAAATCAAACCAGCCAATAATAAGGAAAATGGCTGAGTCCCTTCGCTGTTCCCCTGAAACCACCACAACATTGTTAATAAGTTATACCCCAACACAAAATGTTTGGGGTGTTAAAAAATAAATAAATAAAATGCTTTTAAAAATCCTAAAGGAAATCAACTCTGAGTATTCATTGGAAGGACTGATTCTGAAGCTGAAGCTCCAATATTTTGGCCACTTGATGTGAGGAACCAACTCATTGGAAAAGACCCTGATGCTGGGAAAGATTGAGGGCAGGAGCAGAAGGGAACGACAGAGGACAAGATGGTTAGATAGCATCACTGACTCAGTGAACATGAATTTGAGCAAACTCCAGAATATAGTGAAGGACAGAGGAGCCTACAGTTGCAGAGTTGGACACAACTTAGTGACTGAACAACAGAGAGTAGATTTGCCTGCAATTGTCAGACAAACCACTGACCTTGAGCTACTTGTGATACTCTCAGCTGGATACCTAAGGCTTACAAAGCTCACTTTCTGTGTCTTTTGTTGTTTAATTTATGTCCTAACCATAGAGTCAAAACTAAATAAGTGATTGGTAGGACTTCAAATGAAAAAAGATGATTTGATCATTAAAGCTTTGCCTGGGTTCTTCCTTCCATCCTGCTGAAGCCAGTCTCTGTCTGGGGGAATGAAGTAATTATGCCAACCATGAATAATGTTTCTTTATCTTACCAAGGCAGTGACAGGCACCCAGAGGACCTTGTTAGTAGATGGTCAAGCCAGTGATGGAGTCAGCCCAATGGATGGAAGCAGTAGTAAGTGGTGGCCGTTGGTATATGTCAGGGAGGATCTGTTCTAGCACACACAAACACACACACACACACAAACACACACACACACACAAACACACACACACACACACACACACACACGTGTATGTATCAATCTCATGTCCACTGAGTCGGTGATGCCATCCAACCATCTCATCCTCTGTCATCCCCTTCTCCCCCTGCCCTCAATCTTTCCCAGCATCAGGGTCTTTTCCAGTGAGTCAACTCTTTGTATCAGGTGGCCAAAGTATTGGAGTCCTTCCAATAGAATGTTCAAGGCAGCTTCCCAAAAGCTTGGAATAAAACCCCAACAGTTTGCCCCATGGCTCAAAACCACACCATGTCCTGTCCTCAGCCCCCTCATCCTCCCATTCTCCCCATTGACCAAAGTGTTGCAGCCCCCCTGGGCCAAAATGACCCAGCTCCTTTTCAGACTTCAGCATTGTTCTGGCACTGTGGCTGCAGGACCACACAAGGATATCAGAGGGCTACAGGATTCAAGACAATCAGTTATGACCCTATCCTAGAAAGAGATAGATGGTGCTAATGTTAAACCTCTGTGTAACAGAGAAACTACTGGGAAGAAAATTAGCAACTAGCTTTGGCAGGGAGGGGAGGGGAAGAGGTGAGCACGCAGTGGAATTTCACCTATAAAATCAGGAGATAGG